TCACGCATCTCTTTGGTCCATGTCGCCCTTCATCCTGTGCTCTGCAGCCCCTGTTATCACCTGCTGGATTCCTCCTCCTCCTCACCTTCACCTCCAGGACCCAACCTAACACCAAGCCTTGGTCCCAGGCTGGCCCCTGCAGTGCCATCTTCTCCACGGGGCCCACTCTCCCATCAAGCACCTGCCTGGAATGGTCTCCATCTCCTCTGGGATGGAAGGGAACAGAATATTCTCAGAAGCCCCCCAGATCTCTGCTTTGTCCTTGTGCACAGACGGCACCTCCAGCAGCAAGGGGGGCCTTCCTGAGGAGGAAACGCAGTCCGCAGTGGCTGAGGAGGGTGTTCGTGGAGTGCACAGGAACACGTCGTGTTGTTGGCTTCATTCAGCTATCATTATGCAACTGCCAGCCCTTTACAAGAGAGAGAAAGGGGTCCAGTGCCCCTTCTGGAAGATTTTAATAAAGCATTGCAAGGGGCAGGAGGGTTGGTACAGGGAAGGGGGTGAAAAGAGAGTGGGGAATAGAAGAGGTTTCCAGGTTTCCTGCTGTTCCCCTGTGTCGAGGCTCCGTTCATCTTCACTGTACCCTCTCTGGGCACAGTGACCATGCCAAAAAGTGACTGAATGTGTGTGTTTTCCAGGGCCTCCCTACAAAGTACCACAAGCTGGGTGGTTAAAGCACTGAGGAGGGCTTTTCTTTTGGTCCTGGAAACTAAATGCAGGATGAACGCTTTCAGGGAGAACCAGCCCAGGCCACCTCCAGCTTCTGGTGTTTGCCAAAGTCCTTGGTGTCCTTGGCTTATGCCATTTCTGTCACCGTTAGCCTCACCTCATCCTAACTCTTAGATCTGCAGAGACACTCTGTTTCCAGAGGAGGCCACATTGCAGGTCTTGCCTCAAAATGTCTTTTGGGCAGAAACATAGTTTAGTCCCAGACACCAGCATTTTCAAGCGTGTGTCTTCCCTGGCTCTCTGGACATGCAGGGAATGAGCTTGGGAAATGTGTCTGTTTCCGGTATGCGCTGCGGACAACCAGGCCAAGTTCTGGTACCGCTGTATTCATCCCCCATTGTTGCCAATATGGTTTTCTTTCTTAGGCCTCTTAAAGCTAGTTGCTTGTTTTTAATATCCTTAAGAGAGTGTTTCGGTTATCATGGAATATTCCACCTGCAGGAGATCAAATCCCACAGCCAGCAGACTCCCCAGGGTTCTGGAAATGGAACAAGAAGCCAGCTTTTGTCAGAACACAAAATACTGGAGAATCCTGCATGGTGCTAGACATGCCCTGGTTAAACACCACAGGCACTGGGTTGGGGAGGGGGGTGAAAGCAGATTCGACGACAGTGGGCCATGATGATCCTCAGGCTGTGAGGGACCTTGTGTGTCTCTTGGCTGTCTGCTCTGGATGCTCCACGACCCCAAGCACAGCGCAGCTGAGAGAGCTGTGGCATCTGAGGTCACAAGGTGACTGCCTGGACACTTCCCTAAGAGCACAGCAAGGAGCTGCACTGAAGGAAAGTTAGTGGAATCTCAGCTGCAGGGCACGCTTGGAGCTTCCTGGAGGTGGAAAACATTGCATATCCACAGGTGGCATAGTCCACGTGGGTGGCAGCCCTGTGGAGCTTTCCCTGAACCGGCTTTTTTCCCCCGTCCTGCAGATGTCTGTGGAAATCTGACCATTCCTTCTTACAGACCCATCTCCCTGGAGTTAATTCCTCTTCTGAAGTCTTTTATGTAATGCTTTCTGGTGACCTTGACTCCAAGCAAAGTGTTGTATGTCACAGATGGGGAAAATTTTGTGAACTTTTTCTGTGTGATGCAGAAGAAGAAAGGCAGTTCTGGTGGTTGGAGCCAGTGACGTGGAAGGTGGTCCCTTTGCAAAGCTCAGTGGAAATGGAGTTTACCCGTCTTACATCTCTCTTGACCACCAGCATCTGATTTGATTCTTTCAGAAACGCAGTAACAGAGATGCTTGATGGAAGCCACCAAATCCGAGTTTCTCCTTGAATATCATTTCCCAATGCTAAGCAAAGGTTTTAAACATAGCTTCTGGCCCCTGAGACCTCTTGTTAAACCACAGTCACGCTGCACCACGTTGCTGGTGCAGGAGACTGGGGAGTCCAGGCTCCCCACTTGTTGACACCACCTGCCCTGGCTGAGATCTGCAGTCCCACCCTCCACCCCAGATGCAGAGTGTTCCAGAAAACTTGGAAGGTGTGTTCTCGGCTCTCCTTTGGCAGTCCCTGTCACAGGAGCTTGCTGTGCAGGTCCCTGATACGGATTCTTTCGCCCCTCTTCAGATGCTTACGACTAGCCAACCAGAGAAGAACGAGCCCTGCTGGAACTGGAGGGCAGCCATCCACTTTCACAGTTGCCATGCAGCGCAGTAGCACGTTTTTGTGAACAGGCTGCATGTCGGCAGCTTCTCCTCGACCTAAGGGTGAGGACCCCCTGGAATGAGCATGGGTTGCACAGAACGGTGCAGCCTCTTTCCTAACAGGCACCTCACCAGCGAGAAGACTTGGGGCACACTTGCATTGATGATCCCCTTCCATTAAAAATAACAATATTTGCACATGGGGAAAGGAAGGGCACAGTAGCACCAAGAACTGAAGACTGTGCAGTACTGCCAGGCTGGTGAGTTCCCAGTGCGCTCTTTCCTCTGTCGCAGGGGACCTTGACACTGAAAGACAGGGGAATGAGTGATTTCAGGCTTTACACCTGGCTGCATGGGGGGAGTGGGGTACAGGGGAGTGGAGAACCTCTGTCCTTCATCTAGTCAAAGAAATGGACTCAGACTGAGCAAAATGGGACGAGCTGGGGCCTCCATAGTTCCAGCAGCTCAGTCATCAATGCTGCTGGGACCCCTCATCCTTGGCCAGGCTGGAAAGCCACCCTGCAGCAGCTTACAGCAGGCAGGCTGCTGGCATCCAGGAAGTCCATGGGCACCCAGGAGCAGATCTCTCTAGCAGGTTGGAGAAGATCGGTCCTGGTGATAGAGAGCCCAAGTTGACACCCCTGGCGTGCCATACCTGCTTGAGTGTCCCTTACAAGCTTAGGAGCCAGCGTGCAGGCTCCACTCATTGTCACGCTTGCCTCCATAAATTTGCATGGACGCCAATGTGTTCCAAGCTGTGTCACCAGGCTCCTTGCTGAGAGCCCAAGGAACTTGGCTGAGGCATGGCGGGCACAATCATAAGATAGTGCTCTCCAGCCCTTCAGGTCTTCTCAGCCCATGGGGACATGGTGCTCTGTCCCTGCCACAGTGACCAGGTATGTGGTCCAAGGTATCTGATGAAAAAGCTCTTCCTTTGGCGACACATCTCTGTGCGTGTGTTCCAGTGTTGCAGATGGTCCGTGCACATGGACCTTCAGCTGCCAGGAAGACCTCTGTGACTTCACAGCTGGGTATTTAGCATAGAAAGCTCTGAATCCAAAGACTTGCCCAAGAAGCTGGTCCACAGGAAGGACAATTCCTGCTTCCTGAGTGGGCACATTTCGCCAGGTGCTGTTCCAAGGGATCTCCGGTGTGGACCTCAACATTCCAATAAGATGGCTACTGATTTTATCCCATGCTTTTGATGAGGAAACTGAGGCTCAGAATGCGTTTCATTGAGCTCCATGAGGTCAAAGGTACCAAAGCTGGTGTTGGGCTCAGGGAGCGCTGCTTCCAGCCTGTTAGCCAGGAATCCTCAGATGCTGCTCTGCAGTCTGGCCACCTGTCAGTGACATCTAATGGATGGCTATGGAGGGACCACTGGGTGCCAACCCTTGGACTTGACCTCTGGAAAGGAGGCAGGCATGTGACTAGCAGCACTGATCACACCTGGGACAAGGAGTGGGCTGCACAGCACTGAAGAGAGCAGGGAACTCAGCCAGGGGGCAGGAAATGCTCCCTGGAGTGGTAACTTCCTGAACAAGGTTTTGAAGAATCAGTAGGAGTTTATACCAAGCGTTCTAAGGCAGGGCATCGCAGGCAGCAGGCCAGCACAGGTCTAAAGCAATAGGGTTTTGAAAAGGTGGGGAAGTGGAGAGCATTAGCGGGGTGACTGAAAAGGTCTGGGAGGACACCGTGCTGTGAACCCTGGAGAGGCAGCCCCAGGAGCAGAGACTTTGTCTGCCATGCTAGGGAACTGGACTTTATCTCAGGACCAGAGGCAATTTTATATCAGTTTCAAAGAAAGGTTGAGATCCCCAAATCCTGATGTACTTGGTAGTAGTATTTCCCTTGGAGTTATTATGATGATTACTGAAGGAAATAACTACAAAAGTAAATAAGCCCCATGTATGATACATGCATATTGACCTTGTGCTTAACAAAAGTTTTAAAAATCTCTTCCACTCATTTCCCCATTTTTGTTTTCTTAGAAACCAGGATAAGTACATTGGAGTGTGTGTGTGTGTGTGTATTTTTTTAAAGTAGATTCTGATTGCATAAGAACATTGTGTAGATCTGTTTCCAGCAGTTTCTTACGGCAGGAATGGAAGCTAGGACTGATTATGTAATTGTTCCCTTCCATCTATTCTCAGAAACTAACATGTTGCCAGCATATATTTAAAAAACCCTAATGATCATTATGGTCTCTGGGCATCTTTCCTGCTCACGGTCTGTGCTATTACATCGCACGGTTTACTGTGGAATAGAAAGCAGTGGTTTCAGTGTGGCCTGACTGTTCACCGGCACTGGCTGCCCTGGGCTCGGCACTGTCTGCTCTGTCTTGCACGTGCAGCCTGCAGCCAGCACTGCTCCCGGGAGGAAGGACGCGCGCCCTGCTGAGGCTGCACGTGTTCGTATTTGGGTGAGGAGAAGCGGCATACTTCTGCTGCGCTGAGGCTGTGTTTTGCAAGAAGAGCAGAATACCATCTGTCGGAGGAGGTGGCGGGAGTACACAAATAACTGCTATGAATGCCATGAATGCTTAATTGCTGTAGAAATTCTTTTTTTGAGTCTTTGCATTTAGTTTGTTTGTTGTCTGTTTGTCTGTCTGTTTTTTACTTTTTAGAATAGTCCTTATCAGTGGCAGAAGATCCTTCTGTAGCATATTTTCCGTGCTGCCGTATCGAGACAGTACCCAAGCAGGGTATGTATATGCATGCATGCTTTGTGGATCTCTGGGTGAAAAGTTCAGATGCCACTGTGCCAATGTGGTTTCCTTTTCCACTTGCTCGGCTTTGATGCTGCAAATTCAGTGTTTGTGAATTTGAAAGAAAATTCTGCCTTCTTTTCAGCCAGAAAAGCCTTGTTGCTGGTCTGTGTATGTGTGCATGTGCATGCATGTGTCCCTGTGTGTCCCCACCACACTGCCTGCTCTTGCCACTTGTGTGTTCTGTTACTCTTTCCAATACTGTAAAGCAGGAACAGTCCAGCCCCCACCAATTCCTAGGGTCACGATGACTGGGAGAAAGGTAGGTCAGGACCCAAACCAGACCAAGCCTGGTGACGATCCTGCCTCCTTGCTTCTTGGGCTTAGGTCTGGAAACTGATCAGAAAGCTGGAGCTGTCACCAAAGACTGGGCAAACATCAAAGCCAAATGTCACCAGAATCATGCATACATTTAGCCACAGTCCAGAGAAATGCTCCCCTCTCTCAATCAACCAGACCTCTTTTAGCTTTAAGAAAAGTAATCAAGGGCAAAGTCCTGCAAAGTCCCCTTTCTGTGTCGTTATCCCTGCAGCCTGCATTCATTTCCTGTCCTGCATCTAGACCCTGACTACCCTGCCCCATGTCACTGCACCCTGTTCTGGACACCAGGGTGGCGCCAGGACTCAGCAAGGCAGCTTCCTGTGCAGGATGTGGGGGCATCACGGTCTTGGCTCAGGCCTCCATTCATGAAAAGCTGGAAATGCCCTCTGGTCATTTTGGCAAACACTGCAGACCACTGCCCTGAGAACGCGGCCCTGAGTGCTGACTCACCATTTGTTCATCTTGTGCCACCTCCATGAGCTGTTTCCAGGCTGTGCTGCTGGCCTCATGGACTTGCTAGAGTTGTGGACTCTGAACCATGAGCTCTGGGGTCAGAAGGCAGCATCTTTATTCATGGAAGCCTGTCCATAGCAGTCCCTGGTTAGTTGAACACTGATAACCATACTGTGTATCAAGCACCTGCTTGATGCTAGTTCTTTTTATCTGCATGCATATAACAGCCCTGAAAAGGAAGTATTCCAGGAAAAGAATTAGCAAGTCAAGAGTTCAGGGGCTAAAGAACCGTCTGGGAGTGGCCTTTGGGTTGGCCTGGGGAAGCTAGGGCTCACAGAGCACATGGGCACAGGTTCCCAGCACTGCATCTGCCATGCAGAGAAAGGGTAATGGCCAGATGGAGAGGGAGGAATCAGGGAGAGAACTTTGGAGACTCAGGGTTTTCCAGTTGGACAAATCCCTCACCTTCTGGGAATTTCTGTTTGTTCCTCTGTAGAATGGAGCAGGCCAGCTGCACATCAGGTCATTAATTTTGAAGATGAAGGAATTTCCTGCAAAACCAATTAAAATATATTTGAATTGAGTTGGGGAAGAGCTCACCCCGACCATCTCTGTTATGCATATTTGGGATCCCTGGGGCTGTCCACGTTTTTTTTTTGTTTGTTTGTTTGTTTGGTTTTTTTTCCTTTTCTTTTTCCCTTTCCCCTTCCCTTTCTTTTCCTTTCTTTTCTTCCAATACTGAGGGTTGAATCTCAGGGCAAGCCACATCCCCAGCCCTTTATTATTTAACTGTAAGACAGGGACTTGCTAAGTTTCCCAGCCTGGCATGAGCTCACTGTCCTCCTGCTTCAGCCTACCAGAGTGCTGGGATTACAGGTACGCAGTGTCACAGTTAGCTGGTTCTGCACATTTTGAACGTCTCACAGAAATGTGAACTGGTAGCCAGCTGGTGCTAAGAAAAGATACATGTCCATTTGTGGGTCTCCTGAGGCTGCTGGAAGCCCCACCTGTCGGAAAAGGCCCTCCTCCTGGGGCTTTTGGAGGGATTTGCCTGGTTAGCTCTGGAACAACAATGGCAGAATCATGGATATGATCTCTCATACCTGGAGAGGAACAAATCAAACCCACAACTCTTGCAGCTTTCTAGATGAGGAAAAAGGCACGAAGAGATGAATTCTGTAACACAAAACGCATTCTGTCTAGGCACATAAGATGTGAGCACAATTTAAAATGTCTTTTTGTAGCCAGATTAAGAAGCTTCTCTTCTATAATAATAGATATCCTGTTTATAATTAATAGCCCATTTGCCATGATTAAGATCTCTTTTTTTACTAATTAAGGGAAAATAACATGCTCAAATAATTAAAAACATACCAGTAAAAATACTAGTTGATACAGTAACAAATACAGGTAAATTTCAACCTACTTTAGTTTGCATACATGTTAACAATAAGTATCCACTGTGGAAAATTCCTGTGGCCCTTGGCACACTCTGTGACTTGGACACTCATCAGAGTTCTGGGCCAGACTGTCAGAGGTCACAAGTTTGTCCTTTCTGCTTGCAGCCAAGGCACAAGGGGCCAGCAGTACTGGAACTCAGAGCCCTGTGGCTTCTAGCACCCCTGTCCTGTTATATTTTGCATGTGGAGCAGGCCACAGGTGCCAATTATTCCAGACAGGCACCCTGCTAAAGAAGTACAGTTCCAGCCGCCTCGTGAGAAGGTCATAAAATCAGGAAATTAGGAAGCCCCTCCTACGCCTTTGTCTGGGAGGCATGGACTGGGGCTCCCCGACTGGCCTGGGTAGTTTTCCATCTCCTCCTGCTGCATGGCAGCTTCCTGATTTCAGCTTCCAGTTCTTTGCTTCCTCTGTCTCAGCTCCCATCGCGACCCCAAAGCTTTGTTCTTGGTTTGAACCCACAGTGAACACTGATTATGACTGCTGAGATCTGTTGACCAAAACAGACTGGGTCACAGGGCAGTTTTTACCATCTGTCCCCTCCTTCATTGATGCATTTAGGTCACAGGGGTGGAACTGGTTAGACCTAGGTGGAGGAGACACTGAGGATAGGAATGAGTTTCTAATTAAAACAGCTGGGGATCTCAAGAAATTGCTGTAGAGAACACTTTAACTGCCGCCAGATCTTCATCCAGAAGCGCTTCACCATATGAAACGCCTCCATCCCCCCGCCTCCCTGCAGGCACCACCAGGCCTTGCCTGAGGCAGTAGGGATGCAGCAGTGTACATGAATGTATGTCTGTCCTCAGGGATCCTAGGCAGAAAGAAGCTGTAGGTTAACGAACATCACACAGCATAGCACAGTGAGGGAAGTCCCGAGCAGCGAGCAGCCTGTGGTTGGAGCTCAGGAGTGCAGGGAGCCGCGACAGAGGGGCCAGGAGACATTCCCCAGAGCAGGCAGCTCTTCCACCAGATTGGGGTGCAAGATGGCATTTCTAGTCCCAGTGCTGCCTTTGCTGGGCCATGTCCCATTGAATTCAGTGGCTGGCATCCTGTTTCTGACCCACAGTGCAGGGTCCGGCCCTTGGTGGGGTGGGGGAAACTAGAGACAGGAAGGAGCCAGCTCTCTTGGGAGACTAAGTCTTGGGGTGTCCCCAGCCCTCACTGGGCCTTCAGTGTCCATCTGCAGCTCAGAGTTCTTCATTGTGGTCAGCACAGCCAGTGGAGAAGTGGTAAGTCAACAAACAAACTCCAGACCCACATGAGACACTTTGGGTGAGTTTGTGAACTGCCCGCATTGATACCAAGCTGATGTCAGGATTATTTTTCAAGTGACCTCTAGAGTCTCTGCGAGAAATGGGCAGCTTTGGTCACTTGACAACTCCAAGTTCAAACCCTGCTTCTCAGCCTTGATTTATAAGGAAGGCTATTTGAGAGAGGAGTGTGTTTCCCTTGGACTTGCCATAGGCATCATCAAACATCCGTGTGAATGTGCTAAACAGAGGTAATAGACTTGACTCCTAAATGACAGTGGCAGGGTGCTGGCCACTCCTTGCACCCCTGAGGACCTCATAAGGTAGGTGCTCATGGTCCCATTTTGCAGGAGGAGGCTGAGGTAGAAGGGGAGCTCGGCCCGCAGAGGCCATCTCATAGTGCTCCGCTCTGCATGCTTGAATGCTAAGTATGTTTCCCTCCGTGCGCAAGCGCCCCTTTGGGGCTGGGCTTGCTGGCTCAGGGCCAGTGACAAATGGGAATGCTGGCTAGTGTGTGTGCGCATCTGGGTGACAGCAGAGCTCAAAGGTCAGGCCTAGCCGGTTTTTGTAATTACATACGGACCTGAGGGCCACCTCCGAGGGACCCTAGCAGCCAAATTGCTGGGTGTTGGCTTTTGGAAGACTTCAGGTTTACTTGCGGCACTGGATGCTCCAGGGCAGACCCCAGGCAACTCTGGTGGCACCTGGAGAGAAAAATGATGCGTGCAGTTTTCCATGTGGGTCATAAGAACTCGGAGCCCTGGAACTCGGGGTCCAGGAAGGCATGTGGGGGCGGCTGGTGTCCAGATGGTGCCGACGGGTGGCTGGCAGCAGAGGAGTGTTCCTGCTGCGACACTGAAGTCGCCACTCTGCTGCTCTGCCGCATGTAGAGGCCCCTCCTTATCACTACCGGAAGTGACTTAGGGAGCCCTAAAGAAGGGCTTTCCCAAGGCTCAAGGTGGTGCCTGAAAAACATGTTGCTTTTTAAGCAAGAGGACCTGGCGTCCCAGGAAGGAGCCCCATTCACAGTGTCATAAGTCTTCCCCGAAAGGAGGTCTGGCGGGACCCTTAAAGTACTGAAAACCACCCCTAAAATGTCACTTCATTACAAAGTGCCTTCTGTGCATGTAACACTCCAGGAATCATCTCTCAGATGGTAAGATGCTTCTGGACAACTCCTTCATTCCGATTTGTTGCTTTAGGAATTCCAATCACCTGCATTATGAGCTCTGTTCTCCCCTACCTGCCCATAGTGGCCCTGAGGGACATAGGTATGGAACTCATGGGGTGTGCGCTGGGTTGCAGGCAGCAGAATCCTTTGAAGGTGAGGTTGGGGCTGAGGTTTTCAGCAGTCTCGGCAAAGACAGAAACCAGTGAAGACATCCTGGGATATCCGGGCAGGGCCAGTGCAGCCAGGAGCCTGTGCAGAGCCACACCCTGGTGCTTCTGTGA